TATGACTACATATAGGTATCTAAAAAAAAATCTTGAACAGGAATAGTAATTTCACTTTAATCATGCCCAGAAAGGGGAAGCAATACTATTACATACAACAGAAAAACCTTTTGATCTAGAAAATAAATTCTGCAGGACATGAGTCAATACACAATTTCTTCACATTTCCTTCTCTGATGTAACATCCCTCAAATTGGGAAACAAAAGCAACTAGTGCTATATTTGAAGATAAAAGTATCTCCTTTTGGTTCAATCTAAAGATAAAAGTATCCCCCCTTTTACTTCAATCTAAAAGATGTCACACCTTTGATAAAAAGTTTGAAATAAAGTGAATAAAAAATATGAATCCAAAATGTTATGAGAAAATTAAGATACTTGTTAGTATGGAAATATTCCTTTCACCAGGTATTCTTATTCTGAGAAAAATCTTGACTTTCCAAAACCATTATATCTTAATTTTGGAAAAACCTGAAAGAGCCAACAAATACATAAACTTGACTCAGCCCTCACTTGGATACCATAAGCACTTGGTACTCCCTTTTTCCCTATTGTGGATAAAAAAATAAATCTACTGGGTTCTAGCTCTTTGTTTCCTTCTATTCTCAAAAAAAATTGTTTTCACTTGTTAAAAATATATATATTCATCATATAATCTATATTTTAGACATACTTTTCACAAAAAGATAATCTGCCCTAATTTTTTTTACAACTGTCTTCAACTTTTTCATTTGGGGATAAAAACATGGAAAGATGTAAAACAAATAGGGATTTTATACATTTTTATTGTTTTCCGTTTTTTAAAGTTTGCATACCTCATTACAGAATAGATAATTAAATATCCATCTATTGTTACTTTCTAGTAGTAATAGTAGAAACGTTAAAGATGTTACTTGAGTTATCAACTAATCACATAAGCAGTCTTACCAACCCATGATAAATTACATATTTCTTTGCTTTTATTTTTGCTTACTTATATTTACTCTCACAAAGTCCTCAAAATTTACTGACAAGTTTCTAAAAGACTTTTTTACTTGAAAATTCTTTCTATATGCCAACCTAACTTTAATAGCCAGGGCTGACTTCCCCAGAAGGAGGCATCTAAGCTCTAAACTATTTCTTGCACTGAAAGATCAGTGCTTACACAAGCAATGTATTTCTCAGAAGACCTGTTCATGAAATCAACTTATAGTACCATTTTAAAACATTAAAAATATCCATCTTCTATTAAGTTAGGCTGATGATCTTCCTTATACTTTAGATGTGGGATTAAAACAAATCAAAATCAAAATTAAAAGTCCAACCATAAAAGCACACTGCAGTTTCAGGACCTTTAAGGCAGCAGCAGAATGCAAAGTCACAGTCAGGAGAGGGGCCAGGTTTCCTTCGATCAAAAAAAGCCAAAAGCTCTACCAAAGAATCAAATGAAGATGCCATTTGACATTTCTCCATCAAACTGCCCATCAAAAAGTATATCACTTTTAAGTCATCACACTTCAAATGTATAGTATGTTTTATGTAACTATTACTTAAGCAGGCCAATAATACTTTGCCTGGGTTACTGTCATTTACAAAGTGATATCATTTTCACTGATCTTCACACATACCCCATAAAGTAAAGCAATTGGCTATTATTTACAACACAAATGTAAACAACAGAGACTTGAAAATTATACTACTTGCTCTACATAATTAAACAACTTGGCTCTCAATCCAGTGCTCTTTTTACATTCCATCATGCTGGCAACATGAACCAGGAGTAACGTTTTAGGATAGTGATTTATGGGTAATACTAAAGAAAAATTAGATTCTGACTTCCTGTGATGACAGGAAAATCTTTTAACTCATTTTACTCATTTTCTAAAACTTCCTTCATAAAGCCCTATAGGCCTTTAAACAGGTTTCCACACATTAAATGCCCTTAAAAAAATCCTGAAATTTATCAGTTAGCTGCAGTCCTCCCCAGATTACAGAGCTAAATTTCATCTTGGAACTAAAATTGAGATTTTTTTTTTCAAGTTTATCTGGTGCAACATATTGGACATGACCTTTGAAACTAACACATATTTTTAAACTGTTTTAGTCTAGTCAAAACTGCAGAACTGCCAGGAAGAAAATTCTTGACAATGTGAATTATCACTTACAATATGGCAACTTCCTCACCTTAACCACACACAAACACAAAAACAATTCAGCCTCTAGTAGTTCTGCATTGTTAGATGAGTCTGCATTTTCTGTATTTAAATACCTTGGACTTAACAGGCCTTACTCTTGTGTCCACTTCTTTACATGTTCAGAAACTGCTACTGCTTTGATCTTAGCAGTTCATACCTAATCTTTAAAAATCTTTATTCAACTTGGATAAGAATACAATTATACAACCTGGTTAGTCAATCAGACCAAGTCTGTAAATCAGACATGTTAATTACAAATGTTTCTTATGCCCTGTAAATGGACCCAAATATCTAATAAGATATTGAGTCAACACAGTACACAAAATATACAAAATTAAAAGGTAGAAAATATTGAAAAAAATGGAAATTTGGGGAGAGAAGCAAAGCTCCAAGGAAGATAACCTAGGAAAGTATGACTACTACAGCTTTAAAAACAAACAAACAAAAAAGCTTCAGGATGTATATTTATTAAGAGTTAATTGATTCCTGGGGCAGAGGTAAACCCCAATTTTTCAAGACTGATAACTGCAAAAATACAAATACTATTCTTATAGAACAATGATAACATGGTCCTTTCTGTATGACAGAAAACAAAATGTGGGCTAAATAATCTGCTACTTACCTATCCATATCCAACATATCCATAATAGGAAATAAACAAACAAACAAACAAAATCCAAAATATCAAACATATAAAACAGGACTCAAAGTGACTCAATGAAAGCAAGCTTGAAATGCTTCATTTTATAATTGTTTAACTTCTCTATTTACAGATAATAAAGATTCTGCTATATCCAAGTTAATATATGGACATTATTTTCAGATTAATATCCCCATATTATCACCTGATGAATTTATAGGAATAATCAAGATTGTACTGCTTTAACTGAAGGCTAAGCACTTTTGTCTTTGATTTTACTGTACAAAGTGAAAAAAAGATCAAAATGAGATCAGATGTACAGATGCTAAGAATTATTATCATAGGTGGTTTTTTGAACTTTCCAGTCCAACTAATTAATTCTTGTCCATTCTTGACAATTAATTTACATTTAAATTGATTATTCATATAGTCTGTGGACATAGTAAGGGGCTCTGCCTGTTTTCCTGTTGTTGCTTATTTGCTTTTTAAATTAAGTAATGTTTAAAGAGTCTTTATAACTGGTACTGCAGCACCTATATCTTTTAACTTAAGCTTTTTTCCTATGGAAAATTTGGAAAACACCAGAAAGTATAAAGAAAAAAAATCACTTATAGTTTCACCATCTAATAATTTTTATAACTGTGACTATCATTTGAGTCTTATTTCAAAGTCATATAATTGCTTCTAAGTTCTACAGTTAACAAAATTAGAATTACACTATTTACTAACCTGTTTTAATTTTAAAATTAATACTTTCCAACCATTAAATATTAGTTGAGAACGATTTTTAGTAGTTTTTTTAATTAGAATCCCATCCTTAGGGTAAGGGGTTAAAAATGAACTTCCCATTAAAATAATACCCCCACTTCCTCTCATCCCTTCCTCTTTAGAAACAGAGCTCAGTAAACAGTAAACAATTCACACTAGTCCAAGCTGTGATAAATATTCCCCTGAGAAACCTGGGGCCTAATAAGATTGAAACCTTAAGCCAAAGATATGATGAGCTAACAGTGACATTTCAAGCACTATCCAGGATATGTGACTTTTTGGAAGACGGAAATCTCCTAAAATTCGCAGTCCTGTAGTTACCTATTCTAGCTACGATAAAACTCCATTCGATTTTTTGGTAAAGCTAGAATGAAGCAGCGCAAATTTCACCCATTCAACGAAGTACCTTAACTGGCTGAGTTCGTTAAAATTGGCGCTATCAATGGCAAAGAGTTAGATTCATTAAATAAGGGAAACATGTAACGCTTACAAGGAATTGTATGGACAATTGCTCCAGAGGACTTATCGATTAGGCAAACCAACGCTAAAGGGTGGAGGGGGAAAAGAATATTCAGGGAGATTTGATCAGTACTAGCCTGGTGTACGAGCAGAAGTCTCGGCTGCATCATTTAATATTTCATCTTTCTATTCCTAGCATCACGGGGCTCAAACGTCACCAAAAAAAAGATGGGCCAGTTGAAAACCTGGCAAGGTGACGCACGTAACATCTTACCATATGGATTCTCATCATCAGGACCGAGAAGAGTCCCAAGCCAGCTCAGTGAAGAAAGGAGGGTTTCCCCCCCACACACACTCCCACGGCCGTCAGCTCCCCCACACCCTTGGCGCACCGCTTGAGTCTGCACGCGGGGGTCGGAAGCTGTGGGACCACAAGACCGGACACCTCAAGAGCAGACTCCAGCCGAGGGGACTGCGGACTCCGGTTCCAAGAGCACCAGTGCAGCCGCACGCCTCAGGCGCCGGGAGTCGAGCCTCTGTCCGGGTAGCCCCAGCTCCAGAGGAGACCCCACGAATGCCTCTGCCAGGCGGCTACGCCGCTGGCAGTCAGGGCCCCGACAGGTGGCCGCGATTCCTTTCCCAGGGTCCAAACTCGTCCAGGGCCGTACCTGAAAGGGTAGCGCCACCTCTGCCCGAATGCACTGGCTGTCGCGGTGGCTGTGGTCACAGCTCCGAGCGCAGTGACGCCTCTCATAAAAACAACAACCTGCTTGGAGGCGTCCGCAGCCGGTAGGCGGTGGCCTGCGGGCCGCCGCAGCGCATGCTGGGACTCGTAGTCTCGCCAGCGCTTTATATCTGGCAGCAGCGGAGGAAAGAACTACGACTCCCAACAAAAAGCGCAGCTTGCCGCCGAGAAGCTGGGCCAAGAGGCCGCGAGCCTCACAACATCCGGGCCTCGGCGCTGGAGAGGCGCAGCACCGCTGCCGGTTGTTATGGAGACGGGCTACTACAACCACTAGAAAGGATTCTCGGTTTCATCCGGGAGGACTGCTCTCTACATTATGCGGATTGGTTTATACATATTGATCTAGCTGACAGTTCACCTTCTCTTTGCTGCTTTAATTGGGTGTAGTAAAAAAGCCGCGTACCTTGGGCGCTTGCTGGCCTTCTTGCCATCCGTTGCAGGAAAAGACTGCGTTTGCCGAAAAAATAAAGAAGATATCGAGAATGACCGAGTATGACTGGGTGGGTTTGGGCAGCGGGTTGGATGTTTTTGAATGCTGGTATTCTTTGCTTTAAATTTGGGGCACCTGTACTCCTACCCCCCCGCCACCTCACCTCCAAAAAACACCACCTTTCTAGGCCACTGGACTACACAGATCCAAATGTACATTATTGCATTAAGCCAGAATTGCCTCTTAAGGTATAAAGATGTTTGGAGATGATATGCAACTCATCCTATTGCAAACTCTGAGGTGATGGCTTTGAACAAGAAAAACGTACCTTGTTAATTTTATATTTATTTACATCGAGCCTTGTTCAGAAATGAATACAAGCAAGAAAAAATATACATAGTGCACTTATACTTACTGTTGATGGAAACAGTAGAAAGTTAAGGTTTAATTCTGTCCCACAATTATGACAAAAAAGAAAGTAAAAAAAAGAAAAGCCAACAAGAATGGTGGGTCTGAGTAGAAACAAAAGGGTGCCTCAAAATTCGACTTTTGGCTTTTTTGCTTTAGAAGGTACTATATTTAACGTCAACTGTGACAACACCTAAAAAGAAAAATGATTTTTAATTTTATAATTACGGTTGTGTAATGGACATTTTTATGATTTCAGTGGCGTGCTTTTTATGTATCTTTTTAAAAATATGTGTGTTTGTACCAAAAGACTTTGAAAAGTCAAAGTGCTCTGGCTTTCTCTAATTCTGGGAGAGCCTAAAATTAAATTAGTAAGAAAGCTAATCCCTCCCCCCCAAAAAAAAGAAAGCTAATACCAGCTTTTTGTAGATTTTTGTTCTTTTCAAGGCACTTTCACGTGCTAATTTTAAGACAGTTTAAAAAGAATCATTTACAATTTCAATTAATCTTTTTATTCTTAAGTAAAAAGTTTCTGACCCCAGGTGTAACTGGTAGAGAATTTTAAATAATCCTTTGTATGAGGCTGTTCGGTTTTTAATTTTATCTAGTTTGAACTCTACATTTTAAGATTATTTAGGTTTGAAGAGAATGGAGCCCAAATAAAGCTGCAGTGAGGGCCTATGGCATAAAGTAAAAGCATGGGTATTTTGTTTCTAAGTCTACAAATGTAACTTATCATCGAGATCTAAAAAATTTAGGTAGACAGTTCCAGATTGTGTGGTATAAATTATACCAACAAAGTTTATTAGCTAAGTTGTCTTCTGTTTTGACTAGATTTGGTTTTGTGTATTACTTTTTGCACCAAAGCGGATAAGAATTTTAGAGCCAGTAGAGGGTGATTTGATGAAAAGGAGTCCTTCTGTAGCTGAGGTTGCCCTGGGCAACCTGCCTGGGTGTCTATAAAGTAAACTAGAATTTGTATTTTTTCCCACAAGTCACTGGGCAGCCACCTTCCATCTAAGAAGCCTTCCCTATGCTGAGGAAACCTAGACTTTGAGAAGAGCTGACTGGTTGATATCCCATAGAATTCTGATGATTTACTACTATCCAATGTCTGTGCTCTTAACATTTAAAACAAGTTAATAGTGTCAAAAAGAACAAATAGCAAGATCTGATGCGTTCTACTTCAAGTTTTGCCAGTTTCCTACAAGATTATGAGCATTAAATGAGAAGTAAACTGTAGTATATTAATGTAAAGCATTAGAAACCCATAAACTTCAGAACTGTATTCTGGAAGAACCTACATATTCATTGAGGTAAACCTGTAAAAAAGAAATGGCAAAAAATGATTCCATTTATATAGCAATTTATCGATTACATTCAATTTTCTTTCATTTTATTTCCACAAACGGGAACTATGGCAAATTTTTTTTAAAACCAATTTTACAGATGACATGCAAAGGGGAAATGATGATAAAGGATTGGAACCGAGGTCACAGTTCCTGCTTTGTGCTACTCTTCCAACACTCTCTTGATAATCATTCAAATCTCAACAAAGGAAAAGAAAAAGTGGACTAGATACTTCACATTATTTGAACTCAAGCTTTCAAAACAAATAGGTTCCTGACATTGGGAAATTTGACTTTGCTGAGACATTAGGTAGAATAACCCAGGAATTCTGGGTGAGCTGGGATACACTAAAAAGGAACCTATTTAATCTGACCCAAATTTGAAACTCAAAAAGGCTTTGTCCTTAAGCTTGATAGAACAGCTCTGTAAACATGTTTATCTCCATTTTTAGAGTTGGAGAAACAGATTACGGGCTTGCTAGTTTTAAGGATTTAGAAGTCTTATAGGGTCTCAGCTTCATGAATCACTATCTGCTATATCTTCATAGAAAAGGAACTTTAATGAATATAAACAATCTTCTACTTGTTCAACCTTATAGGGTCTCAGCTTCATGAATCACTATCTGCTGTATCTTCATAGAAAAGGAACTTTAATGAATATAAACAATCTTCTACTTGTTCAACCTTAAAAAAGTCAGTTACAGTATCCTAACAACCATTATGAAGTTATTTAGATATAATAATATAATTTCTGATCTGGAAGGCCTTAGATCTTAAGTATTATAGAAGTTGCCAAATTTTTGTTTTTGTTTTTTTTAACTACTTAAACTTTTTGCCTAAATGGACACCACAAAGTTCATTTATTAAGGGCCTTATCACAGGTGCCTTATCATGAATAAATATACACTTTATGCTTTTTGAATAACTGAAAATCACTTAGTTCCTATTGCTATATTTGGAGAACCTTGATATGGCAGTCCTCAGATTAGTAAACAAAACCATCTAACCCATCTCCTTTGTTTTATATTTATAGACAAGGAACTCGAATCCTTGTAAAATAATTTCATCAAAGTCACACAGCTATTATCAGTGCCAACAACAGAACCCAAAACTGGTGACACCTAATATGTACTTTCATAACTCTTACTCCAGGAGAAATACAAATACGAACAAGTTTCCAAATTAGTCTCCTTGTCATGTTCTTACATAATCCATGTAAGGTCATGGCTTTCTCTCTCTCTCCATATCTCCACACTCCTTAACCTGCCTCCCCAAAGGCCTCTAACTCCTAATCACCACTAAGCCACATCCTTCATAACAAATGTGATAGCACAGTACAACAGGGCCTTGAATAGCATCATTTTGTAATAATGTTAATGAGATGCCCTAGGAACTTAACTTCTGTTTATGTCAATTAGCCTATGATAAAAAATTGGTTTTACCTAAGTTCCAAGAACCTATCAACAATGTTAAATGAGGGCTTACTGTGCTCACAGTGTGATATAGGGACCAACAGCTTGAGCATCACTGGGCCTGCTGTATCTCCTTTCCATGTCCATTCAAGGCCCTGACAGCAGCCCAAGTAGTCACAGTAAAAATTGTTACATCGTGACATGCTTTTCCTTAAAATCCTTCAATAGGTTTCCTTTGCTTTAGGAAAGACCCAAGTTTTTAACATAGTCAAGAAGACTCTCCCTGAAAGATCTGACACCTGCCCCTCTATTATCTCAACTTACTTGACTTGCCATACTTTTTTTTTTGTTCCCACCTCTATTTTTTCCTTCCTTGTCTTACAGTCTTAGATTCAATGACATTTAACTGGAATGGCCTTCCTTAGTACCCCCACACTAGATTAGAACCTCCTGTATATTTTCATAAATCTTTTTTTTTTTCATAGCAGCTACCACAATTACTCTTCAATGCCCTCAAAAGAACAGGATTCTAAAAAGAGCAGAGTGGACAGGGCTAAGTTTTTTGTTTTTCCAGCTTTATTGAAATACAACATGATGATTTGATATATGAATATATTGTGAAATGTTACCACAATATTGGGTATCACCTCCATCATCTCATATAGTTACAATTTTTTTGTCGTTGAGAATATTTAAGATCTACTTTCTTAGCAACTTTTGAATATATAATACAGTATTGTTAACTACAGTCACCATGCTATACATTAGATCACCTGAACTTATAACTGGAAGTTTGTACCCTTTGACCAAGATCTTTCCACCCCCCTCCACCCTCCTAACCCCTGGCAACTAACATCCTACTGTTTTAATGCATTTGGCTTTTTTATTTTTCAGATTCCAAATATATGTGAGATCATACAGTATTTATCTTTCTCTTTCTATTGTGTATTTATACCATATTTTCTTTATTTATTCATCCATCAATAGACAAAGGTTGTTTCTGTGTTTTGGCTATTGTAAATAATGCTGCGATAAACATGGGGATACAGACAGCTCTGACATAGTGATTTCTGTAAGGAAGCAAAATTTGCCGAAAATATGTCTCTTCGGCATAAGAATTATTTTAGGCTGATTATTTTTAAGAAACTGCATAGTTTCTTACATCTCCCTCTTCCATAAATGACTCCCCACCCCAACATTAATTGTCTTTAGCTGCTAATGTTATTACTTAAGGTAGTGGCTCCTGCCATTTCAGAGTTGCTCATTTTTCCTGGGTCTCTCTCAGGTATACATGTTAACTTTAATTCATTTTTCTCCTGCTAATCTGTCTCATGTCAATTTGATTATTAGACCAATCAGAAGAACCTAGGCGAGTATAGGAAAAATTTTCCTCCCCAACATTTCATTTCCTTTGAATATATGTCCAGGACAAATTGCTGGATCATATGGTAGTTCTCTTTTTAATTTTTTTCCGAAGGACTTCCATACTGTTTTCCATAGTGGCTGTACCAACTTACATTCTCACCAACAAGGGTTCCCTTTCTTTCGCATCCTGGCCAACACTTGTTATCTCTGGACTTTTTGATAACAGCACTTTTAACAGGTGTGAGGTGATATTTCATTGTGGTTTGATTTGCATTTCCTTTTTCATGTACCTGTTGGCCATCTGTGTGTCTGCTCTGGAAAAATGTTTATTGAGGTCCTCTGCCCATTTGTAAATCAGATTTTTTTTTCTATTGAGTTGCATGAGTTCCGTGTACATTTTGAATATTAATACCTTATCAATTATCTGGGTTACAAACATTTTCTCTCATTCTGTAGGTTGTCTCATTCTGTTGATGTTTCTTTTGCTGAGCAGAAGCTTTTTTGTTTGATGCAGTCCCACTTGTTTATTTTTGCATTTGTTGCTTATATTTTTGGTGTCAAAGCCAAAAAAAATGTTGCCAAGACCAATATCAAGGAGCTTTTTCTATATTTTTTCCTAAGAGTTTTGCAGTTTCAGGTCTTATATTTAAGTCTTTAATTTCAAGTTAATTTTTGTGAGTGGCGTAAGATAGAGTTTGGGCTAAGTGTAATAGTTTGGGGTATTTTTTTCCCCCAGAACTTTATAATTGTGAATGATACGATGTGTTTATATTTTAGGATAAGAAAAATACTTCAGCTTCAAAATCAGACACAGAAATGAAGCCTGAAAAACTGCCTCCTTGTGTGAACCCTGGCAATCCTGTGTTTTCATGTATGTTGGACCCAAAGACACTCCATACAGCTACCTCACTGTCAGAACCTAAGATGATTATGTATAAAACCATTTCAAGTAGTTATGGTGAATTTTTACCGATTCCACAGTTTTTTCCCTGCAATTATACTCCAAAAGAGCAAGTATTTTCAAGCCATATCAGAGCTACTGGATTTTATCAAAATAACACTCTGAACACTGCACCTGACAGAACCAGAACCCTTGATTTTCCTAATTTTCAACATACTCTATGAAAATATATTCCTTTGTATATTTAAGAGAAAATATACTCAGAAAAAAAAATGAGTTTTAATTCTATGGCTAGAATACCTGATTTGGAATATAAAAATATTTGAATTAATTGAAAAAAAATACCTTTAAGAAATAAAGCATTTCAACTAATTAACTGAATGACAATGACTTCTTAAATAAAAATGTGTTCCAAATAAAAGGTAGAAGAATTTTTGTACATCCTAGCTTTATTTAGTACATGTACTCCAAAAGCTTTGAAAGCTTTTATGATCTTAGTTGTCTACTGAATATATTTATCAAGACAAAGGAACACAGGCACTCTAAGAAAAAATTGAATTACGGAAGACTCTAACCAGTACTTTCCCACTTTTCAGTTATTTCGAGGAATGGCTTAGAACCTGGGAAAATGTTAGTTCCTGCTGCTAGGCTAGGGGAAGAGAGGACTTATTTTTCATTCATTCATTTAGCAAATATTTATTGAACACCTACTTATGGCAGGCACTATACTATGCAAATGGAACACAGAAATAAAAGACAGTCTTTTAATATTTCAGTGAACAATATTTTGGGAGAATGAGATTAGCAAATTAATAATATGCAATAATTTTTACAATGTATTCAAAAGGTCTTTCCGACATAGAGTCAGAATTGCTCAAAATGAGACCAAGGAGATCAGGAGAAGCATCAAGGAGAAGGTAAAGTCAAATCAAAAGAAAGGTCAGTCCAGAAGAAACAATATATATAAAAGTACAAAGATGTGAGAGAATGTGGTATACTTTTATAAATGCAATTAATTTGATAAAGGTTTCCCCTGCTATCTAAAAGGACAGTATTCCTATGAAACCTTTCATAAACCAAAATGACATAAAGCAAAGAGAAACCCCCACTTTTGAAAGTTTGCATTACACCACTTTACTTTTATGGAAGACCTACATTAATACCTATTTATGCTGACCAAATGAAATCCAAAAAGGATTCTTGCTTTTATCAAAAAAGCTGTTGCTGTCACTGTTCCTACTTTTCTCTTTTGGTTTCAGGTTCGGGATATTAAAATCAATTCAAAAGAATAATCTTGTGAGTCACTAGGTCATCAGAAAAGCTTGATCTTCTACTTACCAAAATGACTTGTAGTGAGGAAACAGCTCAAACTGCAGCATCATGAAATTCTTCCAAATACCCTGAATTTGATATTTGCTATTGGCACGCAAGAAAAAAATTAGTTTTGTTCGCTTCTTCTAAAACAGCAAAAATCGAGGCACTGCACAAGATTTCCAGGCAAATAATGCAACAAAAGTTGAGTTTATTAGCCGTTTCTCCACAAAAGCTGTACAAACCATTTTCCCTTTCACTGTAGGTGCTCGATTTGTGGCAAGTGGAGTCAATTTTTAATATGTAAAATCTAGATATTAACTTAATGTTCCTTACTATATATAGCAGATGGTTAGGCCTTTTTTGTTTTATTATTATTGCTAAAATTCTCAGGATGAATATCTTGGAATCAAGCTACTCATATTGTCTGGAATGCTATTATATAGTCATTCAGTGCCTTTTAAAGTCTAGGGACTATTCTATGCACTAAGAGCCTGCCCTCTTAGAGCTTAGATTCTAGTAAATTCTAGTAGGGGAAAACAGACCAAAAAACGTGTAAATATGTATGTATGTGTGTGTGTGTGTGTGTGTATAATGTAAATATTTGTAAATATATATTTGTTTGCATGATATATATTTATATAAGTATAGGCAAATAATTATATATGCATTATATATACATGTAAATGTGTCTATGTGTATTTATGTTACATATTATATATAGATATATAAATACATATAAATATATGTTTATATTTATAATATCCCAGGTAATAATTATAAAGGGAAAAAAAAAGTAAAAAAGGATTAGGGGAGAGGGAGTGCTGGGGCAAGAAGTTATTTTAGGTAGGTTGATCAGGGAAGGTCTCTGATAAGATGTTATTTGACCACACCCCTGAATTAAGTGAAGGGACCATCTGGGGGAAATTGGCTGTTGTGAGGCAATTAAGTATCAGGTCTGGAGTTCAATGGAGAAGTTCAAATTGAATATATTCAATTTGAACAACATCCACACAGAGATATTTAAATCATGAGACCAGATAAGTATAAGTAGGAAAGAAATCAAGGACTAAGTTTTAGGAAACTCCAACATTTAGAAGTTAGGGGAATGAATAGAATAAACAAATGAGATCAAAGGAGTGATTGATTAGTGAAACAGGAGGAAATTAGAAGACTATAATGCCAGGAAGCCAAGTAAAGAATCTGTTTCAAAAGGGAATGGCCCAGGTGTGTAAAAGTATCTTGTGAGATAACATATGGACTGAGACCCAGAGGGTTTGATTATGCAATGTGTAAGTCATGAGTGACTTTGACAAGTGTTTCAGTGAGGTGGTAGAGAGGAAAACTTTATTGGAATAGGTTTATGAAAGAATGGACGAAGGTGAAACTACTTTTGAGTAGTTTTGCTGTATACTGAACAGAGAAATGGGGCAATAGCTGGAAGTAGATATGGGGCCAAAGGTTATTTTTTTAAATATAGCATATTTTAATTCTGATGGGACCACATTTTAAGAACCACTGACTTATAGTAATCAGTTCTAAACAGAAAATGTAGCTGAAGATAACTACAGAGTAATATTAAATAAGAAATAGAGTAATATTAAATAAGAAATATGGACTTCAAAAAGCTCAACTGTATAAAATCAAAGACATAGATAGGCTGAACACAGAATTATTCATCAACTTATAGTATATTCAGAACTGAGATTCAGAAGAGCGACCTAAAAAAAGGATTTGAGTATGGACTGTAAAGTATTAAATTCATTATATGTGAGATATTCTAAATAAAGCAGCACAGTTTTGGACCATGCCACCCTAAAATGTAAAACAATCAAAAATTTAAAAAGTGCTCTGTAATTCTTCTAAAAAGAAAGAAAGCTTCCATTTCAGATAACAGTTTGAACAATCTTCTAGAAAATATTTAAAGCCCATTAGGTAAAAAACTCACATACTTTAGGCAAACTTTCCCACCTTTACACAATTATCAGAAGGCTTGAAGTTTCACTTCCATTTTTTAAAATTTTGTTATTATTATTCATGCCTGGTCTTCCTAGGTGGCTTCCCATCCAAGTACTAGCCAGGCCAGACCCTGCTTCCGAGATCACGCTTCCAAGTATTAACCAGGCCTGACCCTGCTTAGCAGCTGAGATCAGATATCAGGCTTGTTCAGGGTAGCATGGCCATAGACCATGGACTATGGCTCCACTGGGGCATAAAACCAGGACCTTCTGCGTGTAAAGCAGATGTGCTAACTGCTACACTATGAAACTGTTATGGTGCAAACGATTCTAAGACCCAGGGAGCCAATTGAGATTAATTATGAGCCTTAATTAGCCGGCCAGCAACTGATTCTACCACGCAGGGTTAGAGAAGATCAACCCTGGGGTTTGAGAGTGAGGCAATTATAAAGCCTAGAACAAGCAAGCAGATTACAGAAGCAGAAGTTGGCCATTAGCACAACACATAACCTAGTACCACACCCTGGTTAACAAGTAAGTGGATTATAGAAGCAGACATTGGCCATCTTCATATCTTATACAATACACCTCCTAAACCACACCCAAGCAAGTAGGACAACTTCTGGTATCTAAAGATATTTCTTCCCTGTAGCTGACTTAGCTAGTTGGCTCACTTGAAAATTTTCCACCCTTAACAGAACCATGTCTATCACTTTCATTCCTTGATTCCTCATTACTGGAAATACAGCATGAGCTCCCAGCTTCAACTAAAACTAGAACTTATTATCTTCCTAAAGTTTGTTTAGTTCCTTTTCTTCTTTTAGTTAAAAACTAAAAGAATATCAGAAATATAGTTTTACCTCATCGAGAATCTAATCAATATATTTGACCAAATAAAGCTGTTTTTTATATCTATAATTGCTCAAAATTATTGAGTTTACTACATACTAGGTACTGTACTAAGCAGTTTGTTTTGTTTACTAAATAAAATAAAATAAAATAAAATAAAAAACATGTTTCTATAGGTCATTAAAAAGGCTAAAATGAAGTATGTTTTAAGTAATGGCAAAAGTAGTCCAAGAAATATTTTTTTTAAGAGAGAAGTTTACTTGTTCATTTCTTGCATTTAAAGTACTCCTTGATAACTCCTTGGCATGAGACTCTTTGCCATAGTCCTTAACTACAACACAACTGCAACCGACCAATTTACGGGGCTTTTCTGTCACCTTTACAGAGGCCTACCCATTCCCTTAGTGTCTTGTCATCAACCTTAATTAGGTGGATTTGGTCTACAGCACAGAAGATCTCCACCAACTTGACAGATAGGCTCATCACAGTTGGAAGCAAGTACACAAAGGTGGGTTTGACATTGGTCTAAGGCTTTGGCAGCTTTGGGAATTATACCTGCTAGGCTATTGTCGAGGAAGAGAAACTTTCCTTTATCCTTAAGGTTATTCTGGCTGGTCTAATAATCAAATAGGAGACAGATTAGTGAGAGAAAACAACCAAATTTAATACATACACATGTATGGGAACCCTGCATACATCAGATGATCAGAGACCTCACATGCAGGAGAGGTTCTCAGACATAAAGAGAACATGGGTATATAAGACATTCTGAGCTAGGGATGAGGTAAGGTATACCTTGGGGGTTTCAAAGGGTCATTGGATGATAAGAACAACAGACATTTAGTAAATAGAAGTTTATCATGCCCCATAGATAGGTCAAAAGAGATTATCTTCAACATCTCTTTTTATAGGCAAGGCCCTTAATTCAAGTTCTTCCAGGTAGTCAAGGGAGGAGCAGAAGTTTCTCCTGAGCCTGCAGCTGAAGTTGCCCTTAGCTCCAAACAATCCTCATACCACAGAAGCACATCTTTGGGTGACTAGTTCTGAACCTTGACACACCGTGAATGAGGGCAGTCTTCAGCACCTCTTGTAAAGCAGTATTAATATTCATATATCTCTAGCAGCAAGGCCTTTCTGGACCATGGTGGTTGATTATGGCAGTGAGGGCTGGGAGGGGAACCCTTGTCTCCAAGCAATTTGGCAGGAAAGAGGAGGACTACTTAAGAGATTATCTTGAGAGGATGGTCTTAGTGTCATATGCCTTTAAGACATTTTAGAAAGGAAAATTAGTTTTCAAAAACTGTGGGTAATGGCAAAGAGAAGATGCTAGTAACTTGGTAATAACCTGAAGAATAAATCTGGTTTTGTTGTTACTACATGAAAGTTAGTTCTGGCAAGGTACGACTTAAGGCTTGTAAACAAAGGGAATTATCCTAAACTTTATAGGAAAAAGGAAGACTTGTGTAGAATTGGATGCACAATGCCATGAAACATTCTATTCATCAAACTAATTCTCCTTTGTTCACATTCCATGTTTGCCAAGCAACTTATGATTTGATTTACCATATATATCTGCTTATAAAGATAAATGAATTGTCATATAACCTATCATCCCCATGAACATTCTCAATTAATTTGATTATGAATTAATAATAAGTAGGCAATCTGTTTTGTTCAGTCTCCTGAGCTTGGTTAATATGAATATGACCCCTGGAAATGGGTTGGCTCTCAAGGGTACTCCTGATGAGTCTTTGTGAGACTGAGCTAGATAATTTAATAATGTAATGAAACATACCCCTGTTGTCAGGCTTCTTGGGAGATCGCCTACTAACATTTTTGCCAGATGGTACGTGTAAAATTACTTTGCCCTTATTTCCCACATGGATGAGGTTTGTTGGAAAGTACTTGGCTTGTGTGGGGGTTCAGAAGGAGTCACTCCAAGATGTGCCTCTGTTAATGCAGATTGTTATGAGCGAAGAGCAACTTTACCTGTGAGCTCAAGAGAAACTTCTGCACTTCCCTTAACTACCCAGAAGAACTTGAATTAAGGGTGTTGCCTAAAATAAATTATTAGAGATAATCCTTTTTGACCTATCTATAGGGCAGGATAAATTTCTATTTACTAAACATCCATTGTTCTTATCATTCTGCAATTACCTTTGAAGCCCCCAAGGCACCTTACCTGAGAGTGTCTTATATACCTCCATCCCCCTTTCTATCTCTGAACCTCTCCTGCCTGTGAGATCTCTGACTCTCTCATCTTTGTGGGCTTCTTATACAAATATATATGTATTAAATTTGGTTATCTTCTCTTGTTAATCTTTCTCATGTGTATTTGATTATCAGACCAGCAAGAACCTTGAGGATAGAAGAAAGTTTCTTCCTCCCCCACACCTGCTAGGGACAAGTGGCCTCTCCTTGACCAAACTCTAAACAAGCTCCTTTGTGCTAACTAGTCTAACAGTCATAAAATTCTTTCCTATTTCTGTAAAGCATCGATTGCAAAAATGGGCTACTTGTGAGATCTTTCTTTAGCATGCAATAATTTTATTTTAGCTTTGATATTTGTTCATAACCAAATCTGTCAAAAAGCTTTAATAAACATGTACACTATGTATTTATGTATGGTCGCCACACCGTAGTGGGGGATTAAAGATCTCTCCAGTTTACATCTATGTAAAGGCTGCATTTAGTTCATTATTCACTAGGTATTGTAACTGGAAGGCAACTGAATCCTGGGCTCATGCTGCCTGTGCCGCTCAGCCAATAGATCGAGAGTTGGGATATTTAGAATAAGCATTTACTGACAGAGCGTTGGCGATATGAGGAGGCAGCAGGTTAACACCTTCGAAAACTGCATTTTTTTCTCAGTCCAGCTTAGAGTATTTAAGGGAAAAACTGAGCATTATTCCAGGGGCTATGTGGCAGTTCCAAGGGTCTGTTATGCTTTATGGAGCCATTTTTCCGGCAACATGGTCCTCCAGTGCCATCAGAAAGAACAAAGATGGGAGTAGTCTGGAAAGAATGCTAGACCAGAAGGATTGTGATCAGTAAGCATAAAGGTATTAATCATTAGTTCCAGGGCAATTTTCTATGGCAGGGAATGTTCTAAGCAGCTGGGGACAATCTACTGTTAAGCTATAGGGCCAGGAAAAGTGAAGGTGGGGACACTATGAGGCCTCTACTACAGGGATTCCCAACTTGGCCCTTCTTCAGTATCTTGAAATTAATTTCAATCAAATAACTGGCTATGAAAATAAATCAAAGAACTATCTTAACAATTTTTTCTTATCTTTTATTCATTGGCTTTAACAATAGCACTATTATTTGGGAGGCAAGTTTTCATCATTAAGGAAATGGGAATGTCTGTATCAATATTTTAACTCTATCACCACATCAACCTAAGACAAAAGTCCCTTGGAAATCATGAGATTGATTAAAAGATATCAAATATTTCAAGAATACAAATGAGTACCTGTTGCATTTAAACCAAGACTTTAGAAGATAGGATCAAAAATATTAATAAATAATTATTTAAGACTTTCCCTTTGTGGACCAAAAAAGGTGAGGTTCTATGGAAAGTAACCTCACAGGGTGATCTGAACATAAATTCCTAATGGGGCAGCTCATGGTGGTAGTCATATCCAAGACATATAATTTCTTTAGTAAAAGGTTTACCTTGGCCTTAAGCAAGGCCTATCCACTGTGTCTGTACATCTAAGTTAACACACCTTTGAAATAAGCCTTAATCCCCTCAAGAGAGCACACAATCTTGTTAACTATCCTATAATGCAATCCCCACCTGTCTTTCTCCTACCTCCATGTAATCTTCCTTAGTTCCCTCCTTAATTTCAAATGTATATTAAAAAAAAAAAAAAAAAAAACCTGCAAACTGTTATTCTCTGAAGCATTTGAGATCTTGCTCCCTAGCATATGTTGTCAGTTTGGCTCAAATAAACTCTTATAAAAATTCTCTACAGGTCTGGACATTTCTTACATTGACATCTTTTACCTCCTCCAAGCTAACAGGCACAGTCTTTTATTTTCTGATTGAGATGGCTATAGGAAGAGCCAGAGGAAAGACTAGGTTGGTTAACAAATTTTTAATGTCAAACTGGTATTTGACACACAAGAACTTCATTTTGGTTATATTTATAAGTAAAGACAAGCAAATAAACCAGGATTGATTATAAGAAAAAGCAATCCTACCTCATCAGAAGGTCTGATAACTGGACAGGACTGCTACAGACATCAAAAGTTGCTTTGTAGAAGTAAAAGTTTCAAGGTTGCTGAACTAGGATACACTTACACATTCAGAAAAGTCTTGCATTACAAAAAACAATAAGGCTGATTTATAATCCAAAGTCATCTTGAATGACATCAGATGATCAAATACTATAACTTTTTCCAATTTGGTTTCCTTTAAAAAAAGGGAAGCTGTACTGTTTTTGTTAATGTTTGCACTATCACAGTGATGGAACACAATTAGTGGTACAATCCAATGCCAATAACATAATATTCTAATTTAACATTTCATCTTTTACTGTCTTTTTCCCCTGATGTACTTGAAGGTACTAGAAAACAATCTTCAGCATATCTGCACCAGATAGTGTCTGAAGTTGAAGATAAGGTTTTCCAAACAGCTATTGTACTAGGTTGAACTGATCTGATGTCAAACAACAGGTTGTGTTGACATACTAAATTTTTTTTAAAAAGGTTCTCTATGTTTGGGAAATAAGTGAAAACATCACTATTGATTATATCAAGGTCAACCATTTAGACAATTAAATAGTATATTTACTACAAACAAAATTACTTTACAAACACAATCTTTTATTTAAAACTTCCACTTTGTTAAAAATGAATCAATAAATGTCCTGGTAATCATCACGCCAACAAATATTTTGTTAGTTATAAGGGCAAGCTGAAATCAGTAACGAAAAATGTGTAGTTAAAATTATATATTAATGTCAAGCAAAGAATTAAATTATTCTCATTTTGATTTACTTATTCAGACATCAAGTCAAACATATTATTTTCTATACATTTATAATATTTTTCCCTCTACAGAATTAGAGTACTAAAGAGAAAATGATTCTACACATCCATAGTATGTACAAATATTCCTAATGCCTCCAGTTATTTTTTAAAAACTTAAAACAATACCTGTTACAATACCTAGTTGCTTCTAGTAGTTATTAACATTTTAGTTCTGTTCCTTGAATTATATTCCGAATCTTCTCAGCATCATTTTGTACAATTTTGTTGGATGGATCAATTTTAAGTGCAGCTTCATAATCCTGTAGGCCTATTTTACATAGCATGATGATCAATAAAATATTTCATAAATACTTGTGTTATCTAGACAATATTTAAAAAAAATAACCACTAAGAACATGGTTCTAGACAAGTGCCAGGTTTTAAATCAGATTCTCATTTTCACACACATGGTAGTCTCTCAAACAGCCTGCAGAAATTTTTCAGTGATTTCAAGAATAATTATGAGTTCATTCAGTGTTCAGTTCGAAGCAGTTATCTTTAAATTCAAGTACAAATAAGCTAAGCGCTTAAACTCATTAAAGCATGAACAGACTCATATAAAACTCATATAACGAAAGAACATTTTTATCACCTCAATGAAAAAGTAATAAATAACATCTTATTTAGAAATTCTAGATTTGTTAGACTCAATCCATACTTTATATAATTCATATACTATAATTTGTGCTTTTTTTTTCTGTAGTTATATCTACAGAATTCCTTTGAGGAAAACTGGTTGAGAAGGAAAGCATTGTGGATGAGTTGTGAGAAGTACATAACTGAATCTAAATTTTTACCAATAAAGCAGTGGGAAGAATTTGAGAGTATGGAAACTTGATTTCTAAGTGCAATTGATTTACCACGCCACTTCGAACAAATCAAAGTTCTCTGACTCTCCATTTTCTCGTCTTTAAAAATGAAGGGTCCTTTTAGCTCAAAAAAGTCTATGATGCTATTATAATTTCTAAAGATTGTTTTACAATGTTTCATTTCTGTCTTGACATTTTTTATTCTCATGAGGCTAGATAAAACACTAAAAATAAAATGGGGCATATAAACCTAATTTAGATGCTTTGGTTAAAAAAATCTCCAAAAAATGGCAGAAAAAAGTTTAAAAATAAAATCAGAAATAATAAAACTTTATAGGCCAGAGCGCATTCCCTGGCAAGGCATCATCAAGGGGTAGGCCTTCAGGCCCTGAATGAAGGGAAGTTGAATGGGCATCTGGGTAGGGAGGTATGGGAAGAGGAGTGTTGAGGACAAAACTCTGGCTACTACAAAATTTTGCCTTTGGGGCAACATGAGTAAATGCAAATAGTCCATAAATACGTTAAAAATATAAAATGATAAAAATTAAATAAATGCCATGGCTTCTATACAAATGAGAATGAGTTACAGATCTTAGTACAGTCTTACAGATACAAGCAATGATCATACATTGTGGTATACTGGTTATTTCTAAGCGTGTGTGTGTGTGTGTGTGGGTGTGTGTCCAAAGCTCATTTTAAAATTTCTATTATATCTGAAGTGACTCACTTATATCCTTTATCATACATCTGTCCATAGAAAAGTTGTCTTATACTATAGCATTTTCCTAGACCTAAATTTGTTCACATCTTGTTTTAACTCCCTTCTAAAACAACGAATCTTTCAAATATTTCAAAATCATTTCTTGTTAGGTAAGTTACAAAAAATATATCAAATGCTGAAAATATAAAATAATGGAGTCCTAAAAAGTCATGGTTTTAAATAATCCCAATGACATTTTTTTCAGAGTATAACTTGGAACTTAAAACATTTCTATACACTTCTTACCTTCTACATACAATTCTAATTGACAGAATGCTGTTCCACGTCGTACATGTGCCTTCATTCTTGCATTAGCATTGTCTGCAACAGGTGGTGTCAATAATTCTAATGCCTTACAAAAAAAAAAAGATAAGGGAAAGACATAACTTTCTAATTTAAACTTGAACAAAATCATGATAAAAATCTTAACTGTAAAACAAGTCTCAAACCTTTACCCACCTAAAATTTTGACATAGCTAGTACAGGAATTTATCAAACACATTTGTTAAATAATTTAATGAATTGTTTAACTCTTCCTATATGAGATTCATACTCTCTCCCCCAAAGTTATGATTTGGTTTATCATGAAACCTCTA